AAACCATCCCTGCACACTGAGGACCTGGTAAGGAGCAAGCATTGCACCAGGTGTTAGATGAAAATCAGCAAGAAAAAACATCAAGAATCTGTCATTCCATGTCTTACGTGATACTAGAAACCAGGAGCTGAAGATGAAATAAAATTTCAGTAAAGTCTAGAGCACTGGACAGAAATTGGGAAAGAAATAAGATGTTTCCATGGCAAATGAGAGAAACATCATCTGCAGTGGAGCTGAATCAGCTCCATGTGTGGCTGAGCTGTGAGGAGGTGGATGGGAGTGGCCAGCGTGGGCATTTCAGTAGGGCTTCAGAGGGCTAAGAAGCTTGGATGAGGCTGTGGAAGTATGTGAGCCGCCCCACTGTGAGTAACACCATTTTTACATTTAAACAATCATTAAGAGACTCCCATAGGGAGCGCATGAGCATGAGAGGCAAACTTAAAGGTCACAAGATGGAAAAGCTGGCAGCTCTGATTTGATTTTTACACTTTACATACATGTGTGAAATAACCACACAAGACCATGCAAGTAGGAAAACATTTTAAATTAATAATAAATATGGAGACAATTTTTTGTTTATGTGTATTTATTTGCGGTGGAGATTGATACCCTGGCCTTGTGCATAGTAGGGAAATGCTCTAGCACTGAATTACATCCTCAGCCTTATATAAATTTTTAGAACTTAAGCATTCATCAAACTCAAAGCTCTCAGTGGCAGAAGGAGAGACAAGAGTAACTGCAGGGGTGTAAGAATTCAAAGTCACACATGAGATGGAGAGGGGAGGCCATGGAACCACCCTCAGAGGAGCCAGCTCTGGTGCAGGTTGTACACAAGACAGGTCCTCCTGCAGACCAGCAGAGGAAGAGGAGAAGCCCTGTGCAGGGATCCAGGCCTGCAGGGGGAACAGGCAGAGGAGAAGATGAGGACAGAGAGAGAGAGAGAACACACGGAAAGATGAAGGGGCCACATCGGGGCCTGAGTGTAAAGTGGGGGCTTCCAGGGTCCCTCTGAGTTTTATTTTTTATTTTTTGCTTAAATTATTTTATTGGTACATTTTGGGTATACAGTATGTTTACATTTATCATTAGGTGCTTGTACCTGTACATGATGTATCTTGGTTCTTATTTTTTCCCCATTACCTGTGCACCCTTCACCCCCTCCACCCTTCCCTATTTACATAGACTTCGCTTGCATTTGTTTTCCTTGTTCATAATTTTTCCTTTACCTTCTTTCCTTTCCCCTCCGCCTCCCACTTCCCCTACCCATTTGGACCTTTACTTCCTATTTCAAATTATCAATTATTCATTTTAATTGTTTTAATCCTTATTCCTGGGGATCACTTTAGCACGTGAGCATGAGGACTGGATTGGGTTTTGCACCTCTGGACACAGAACAGTCCCAGGGATAACAAGTCTGACATTATGGCAAGGGAAGCCTGTGAAGTGTTTTTCATTCCTGAGTTTTCTGAATAATTTTGTGCTATTTCCAAATATTGGCCACTCAAATAATCAAATTTTTCCAATGATATTTTGCAAGAAGAAAGTTCTTTTTAAAACAAAATTTGTCTTTCTGTGTCCCGAAATTAACCTATTTGTCCCAAATGATAGGATTTCCTCTCTTTTTAAGACTGAATAATATTATATTGTATATACATACCACATTTTTGTGTCCTTTTCTATACTGATGAGCACAGTAAGTTCTCTGTCCTGTTACTTTGAATAAGGCTGAAATGAAGGGCAGATGATTCTTCAACATGCTGATTTTGTTTCTTTTGGTTATATACTCAGAAGTGGGAGTGACTGGTGCCGTGGTAGGTAGATACAGTCTAATTCATTCTGTTGTCCATATGGCTGCATAAATATGCAATCCCACCAACAGCATTCCTGGGTTCCCTTTCCTCCTCAATCCTTCCAACATTTGCTCTCTTTGTCTTTCTAAATCAGCCACTCTAACAGTGGTGAGGTGAGAGAAAACTACCACAAGGTCTCACTCAAATTTAGAATCTCTAAAAGTGAATCTTTTTGAAGTAGAGAGTAGGACGGTGACTACCAGGTGTGGACACTTAAGGAGGAGCAGGGTTGAGAGGTGGTGGCCAATGGACACTAATGTACAGCTAGAGAGGAGGAAAAGTCAAAAGTTCTGTTTTGGGTTTTTGAAAAATGCTAAGCACATGGATATTAAATGTTATGACCACAAAAAATATTACTGTGTGGGTAATGCACATTATAATTTGCTATATTAGCCACTCCACCATGCATGTGTTCCTCAGAACATCACATTTTACATGATGTACAAATGGATCTGTCAACTTGTGAAAATATATAACAGATATTTATCCAAAACTGAATCTACATATGTCTTTGATGTATATTGCTGCTGAAAATAATTTGCAGCATATTTCCCTGTCCTCCAACATGTGCCCATGTACTGAGTTTGATCTCCACATAACAGCATCTCTGCCAACAATTCCAAGCCCTCAAAGGAGCTGCTGGGTACCAATCTCCAGAGTCCAACTGAACCCCCTGTCACCCCAGTGCACCCATTTATAATACAATTGTCAAATGATGTCTAAACAAACGGAGGTATACAGAAAGCAGATGTAATTCGGCAGTACAGAATGAATGGTTTTATATATATTACATACTCTGGACAGTATTGCTATCAAGAGATCCAAGGCATAGCTTATCTCAATATTTCCCCTTTGTTCTACTTGTTTTAAGTATGAGATCAAAAATGTCTTTACCATCTTGTCACAGGCTTAATCTCAGTACAAAGTCCCCTCTGCTGTGAGGAGGGGTTGCATGTCCTGGTGACCGTCAGCCCTCTCTTGTGCATGGCCCAGTGTCTTTGCTCCGCCATCTTCTGCATTCACTATGCAGGTGTGCTTTCTTCACCCTGAATGATCAACTGAGAATTGCATGTGAGCTGTGATGACCCTCCGTCTAGAGAGGGAGAGAGAGAGGCTCACTTGGAAGCTCACTAAGCACAGCAGGGCCCTTACATTGGGCTGTAGGAAGCAGTATTTGGGCCATCACAATACAGCTTCTCTCCAGCCACATTGATTCTTATGTGCTGTTGTGAGTTGTCATGGTTCTTGTTTGTTATTTTGTTTAATATTTCTAGGAAAATAATTGTAGAATGAGCAAGTTGCCAGTTTCAGATGACTACTATTCACATACATGCTGATACTCCACTTAGTTTTAACCAAATCCTGACAGTGAACATGATTTCTTGCATTTCAGTGCAAGAGGCAAAAGATCAAGGTGCAGATACAGCCTGCCTTAAACACTAGGGCTCACTGTGTCTTCCAGCAGAACAAACATTCAGAGAGTGTTACTCTGGATGTAAACAAAAGGTGCATGGCCCTACTCCAAATGTCCAGCTACAAACAGGGCCCACAACAAATATCCACTCCTCACTCTCCAAATAAGGTCCCATTTTCTGTTGGGTTCAAATTGACCTGCATTTGCTCTGACTAACCCCACTCTCACGAACATTTTGTTCAGCACTGTTCTCTACTTTCCCCTTCAGTTATCACAAAATTTAGCGTCTCTTTCTTTCTGAAACTTTGGGTAATATTTGTCCCTCATGTCTGCTGATACTTTTGTGACTCTCAAGAATGCTTGACTACAGATCTGCAAGCTGATCAACTATGTTTCTGTAACATCCATGAATCTAAACAATTTGCCATGGATCATCTCTGAGGGTATTTTTTCCTGGTGGCTTGGTAACATATCCTAGAAAAGCTGTTTTAGAGCTCACTTTCCTGAATACAGTGATAGTATTTAGTTATGATATTATGACTCTGTTTAAAGGTAAAGTAAATAATGTTGTTATAACATTTTATAAAATGTCAACATACTTTTTTTAATTCTTCATGTAATTATATTTCCAACCTCATGGCATGTTTTTTAATGTAGTTCATGCATATTCCTCCCAATCATGAGATAAAATGTGTTCTTTAAAATGGTCCACATTTGAAAATATTTGCTCTCATTCAACTTTATGATGAAAATTTTTTGTAAAAATGACATGAAAATGACAGAAGTACATTTAAGGGAAAGAGAGAGTGCATAGTGATGTTCTAGACTGTTTGGGTTCCATAAAATCTACCACAGACTGCATAATGTACAAATTCCCAGAAATTTATACAGAATAGGATGGTGAATATCAGAGAAAAGCAGCAAGAGATGAGGTTGCTCTCCAGTATGTGGATGGCTGGAGCCCTTGTGCACTGCTAGAGGAAGGAAAATAGCACAGCATATGGACAGAGAAATGTGGTTGTTCTGCAGAGACTTGGACACAGGGTTACTGTAGGGTACAGAAAGTGCACATCTGAGTCTGCACCCAAAGAAATGGAAACCAGGATCTCAAAGAGGTATTGGATACTATTGTGCATGGCAGCATCAAGCACAGTAGCAGAACAATGGAAACAATGTGTGCATCAATTGAGAGATGTATGTAAACAGACTTTTTACATATATACGACCTGAAGTATATAAAAGTAGAAAATGGTAATATATGCTTCAATACACATGAACTTTCAGGACATGATATGAGGTAAATAAGCTAACCACAAAAATGAGTGTTGCTTGATTCTAACTAGTGTGATAAAGGTCACTTGTTAGGGGAAAGAAAGGAGATATCTCATAGGTTAAGATTGAGTTTGCAAGAGGAAAATATTCAGAAAATGGTGGTGATGGTTTTACAACATTATCAATGTACTTGATTCCACTGAACTACATGTTTAAAAATTTGTGAATGCATAATTTTTATGTCATCATAAGAAAATTTTGGAATAAAAGAGGAGAAAATGTTGCCTCAAATAAACTTTATTTGATGCCCTCTTTCAGGAAGAAAAAGTTCATAGAGTATGAAGCTGCATGTGAAACTATTAAACATTGTAAGCATACACTAATGAAAAAAGGAAAAGAAGAAAATAAATTTATCTACAAAAATGTGTCTCTTTCCTTCCAGCCATATATTAAAGACTAGTCCAATGGAAAGGGGAAACATGAGCTTTCCCAACACTTTTGTCCTCCTGGGCTTCTCAGAGTTTCCATGGCTGGAGAAGCCCCTCTTTGCAGTGGTCCTGTTCTCCTACCTCCTCACCCTGGTGGGGAACAGCACCATCATCCTCCTCTCCCTGGTGGACCCCAGACTCCAGACCCCAATGTACTTCTTCCTGGACAACCTCTCTCTGCTGGACCTCTGTATCACCTGCACCATTGTGCCCCAGCTGCTGGCCAACCTGTGGGGACCAGAAAAGACAATTCCTTCCCGGGGCTGCATCACACAGCTCTATGTTTATACCTGGGTGGGCACCACTGAATGTGCCGTGCTGGCCGTGATGGCCATTGATCGCTATGTGGCCATCTGCCGGCCCCTCCAGTACACTCTCATCATGCATCCCTCAGTGTGTGTGCAGATGGCAACTGCCTCCTGGTCCAGTGGCCTGACCAGTTCCCTGCTGCAAGCCACACTCACCCTCCAGCTGCCTCTCTGTGGGCACCACACCCTAGACCACTTGTTCTGTGAGGTTCCTGTGCTCATCAAGCTGGCCTGTGGGGAAACCTCTGCTAATGAGCTTGCAATGGTTGTAGGAAACATCCCATTTGCAATGGTGGCTCCCCTGCTGGTGGTCATCTCTTACACCTTCATTGCCAGGGCTGTACTGAAGCTCCCTTCAGCTGAAGGCAGGCACAAGGCCCTTAGCACCTGCAGTTCCCACTTGCTGGTGGTCACCATGTACTTTGGACCAGGCATCTACATGTACCTCCAGCCCCCAGCCAAGAGTTCTCAGGCCAAATTCCTGTCCTTCTTCTATTGTGTTATCACACCAATGCTCAACCCACTCATCTACACCCTGAGAAACAAGGATGTGCAGACAGCATGGAAGAGGATCCTGCAATCCCAGGGCAGGGTCAAGTTTTGGAAACCCAGAAGATCTCTGCCTGTCTCCTAAACAACTACAGGTACAAAATGATGAATATTGGCATACGGCATCTTCTCTTCTGAATTAACATCCACAAGTTCTAAAAAAGAGGTCCCAAGTTTCAAGGCAAACCACCTTAATGACTGAAGAAAATCTTTGGACTAGAAAGTTCTATATCTTTCATCCCATACATAACCATTGTCCTTTGTCAAACACTTCATGTAATATGTCTGGCCTCCACAGACATAAGAAACAACATGGTCCATATCTATTTTGGTTGGTGAGAAATGCTGTTTCATTCTTTTTATTTCTTTCTACCTTCCTTTCTGTGTTTCTTCCCTTCCTTCCTTCCTCTCTTCTTTTTACTTTATCATATTAATTGCACACTGTAATGATTTCCATTGAGACACATATCTCTGCATGCATGCAATGTGCACTGATTATATCCACCCTCTCTCTTCTCCGCTCTTGGCCCCCTAATCCTCCCCTGATCACCTTTGTCCTGCCTAATCATCCCCATTCTCCTCTCATCTCACCTTTTTCTCCCTATGTATTGTATATGACAAAAAGGTGGTATTTGTTTTTTGGTATCCAGCTTGTTTACTTAGGTAAATTATCTTCAATTCCATTAAATTTCCTACAAATGGGATGATTTTGTTTTCCTTTGTCATTGAATGATATTTCACTCTGTATATATACCATTTTTTGTTTATCCATTCATCCACTAAGTGGTATCTATTTTAAGTCCATAACTTAGTTACTATGAATACTGCCACAATAAACATTAGTGTTTAACATTTAGTATTTCTGTTGTATACTGACTTCACTTTGGCTAATATAAAAAGGAGTGGCATAGCTGGATGGTGTGGCAGGTCTATTTTTATTTATTTTTACTTAAGAAACCTGTATACTGATTTAATAGTGGCTGTACTAATTTACATTCCCACCATCAGTGTATAAATGTTCCATTTTCATTGTAATCTCATGAGCATTTATTATATTTTGCGTTTTTGATGATAGCCATTTTGATCTGGATGAGATTGAATTCAGTATAATTTAGATTTGCATTTTCCAAATGGAATATTTTTTTTCAAGTAGTGTTAGCCATTTGTACTTCTTTTGAGATGCACCTGTTCAGATCTTTGCTCCATTAATTGCTTGAAATATTTGTTCATTTCATGTTAAACTTTTTGAGTTCCTTATATATACTCTAGATATTAATCATCAGCCAGACAAACAGTTGGTTCAGATTTTTTCTCATTCTAAAAATTGTCCCTTAGTTCTTTTTAATGTTTCCTTTATTATACAGAACCCTTTTAATTTCATGAAAGCCCATTTGTCAATTCTTCCTATTATGTCCTGAGTAGTTGGATCTTATTCAGGAAATCATTGCCTGTACCAATATCTTAAAGTGTTTCTCCTATGTTTTTCTTTAGTGCTTTTAGGCTTCAAAGTCTTACATTAATGTCTTTAGTCCATTTTAATTTGATTTTTGCAAAGAGTGAGATATGGGGATTTAGTTCCAATCTTCTACAGGCCATGCCAAGTTGTCCAGTATTATTTGTTGGTAAATGCTCTCTTTACTCTAATGTACGTTTTAGTGACTTTGTTGAGGATCAGATGGTGGAGATGCATGGGTTTATGTGTAGTTTATCTATGTTTATCCAATGGACAGTACCACTCTGTTTGAGGGAGAGCAGGGAGGGATGCAAAGCAATGAAGATGTGTTTTACACATCCTCCCACTCCTCCAGTGGGATATAATCATTATGTACTCCAAACCATTAGGGATATAAAAATAAAAATTAGAAATACACAAAAGACAATGTCTCTGGAATGTATTTGGGGATTAGTTGTTGTGGTGCCTTGAAAATTGTTCCTCTTGCTCAGGATTTCTTTGTCTGCTCAGAGTCTCCCATGTAAGTTCTCCCATGTGTATTTTAAGGTATTTTGCTGTTCTATGAAGAATGTCATTGGTATCTTGATGATCACTTTTGATAGTATGGTGATTTTAACAATATTAATCTAACAAATCACATGGGAGGACTTTCCATCCTCTCATGTCTTCCTGAATATTTTTCTTCAATGACTTATAATTTTCACTGTAGAAATATTTACCTCATTAGATGTTTGTTCCTAGATATTTTAGTGTGTGTTTGTGTGTGTCTGTGTACTTCTGTGTGCATCTGTGTGTGTCTATTGTGAATGGAATTTTTCCTGGCTTCTTTCTTAGTGAACTTATGATTCAATAGATTTATATATAAGAAACCTATTCATTTCTTAATAAATTAAGTTTATTGGTACTTTTTAGGTATACACAATTATCACATTCATCATAGGGAATTTGTACCTGTACATTTATATCCTGTTCTTATTTTTTCCCATTTTCCTTCCCTCTCTTCAACCTCTCTACCCCTCCCTATTTACAAAAGCTTTATTTCTATTTTTTCCTTCTTTTCTCATTTTTTCTTTCCCATTTTTCCTTTCCCCTCAGCCCTTTCCCTAGTTCCCCTTCTCATTTGAATATTGTCTTCATATTTCACAATATCTTTTATACATTTTAGTCCTCATTTGTACTTTCAGTTTCTCACACCAGAGAGACAATTCTGTATTTACACATCCGTGTCCAGTTTATTTCATGTAAGAGTATGGTCTCAAGGTGTATTCATTTAGCTATTAATGTCACAAGTTTACCTTTCTTTACGCCTGAATAATACTCCATTCATTAAAGAAATCTTTATTCCTTCATCAGTTGATGGGCATTTAGACTGTTTCCAAGATTTAGCTATTACAAACTGTGCTGCTATAAACATGAGTTTGTATATATCACTGAGGTATATGTAATATGAATTAAATTTTAATTCTTTCCATTCTTTTGAGAAGATACCAAAAAGAGGAACAGCTAGGTCAGATGGATCATATTTGTTCACTGCACTTTAGTTGCCTGGGCATTCATGCTCTTGTCCACAATATTCTTGCCCAGACCAATGTCATAGGTTGTCTTCTTTTGTTCACTTCTAATTGTTTTATGGTTGTGCATATTATAATTAAGCCTTTAGTCCATTTTGAGATTTTTGGTGTGGTGAAGGAGACAGGTCTAGTCTTGGTCTTCTACATGAGATGATCCCATTTTCCTGGATCATTTATTAAAGAACATGTCCCTGCACAAATACATGTTCTTAACACCTCTGTGGAAAATCATGTGGATGGAAGCACATCCACTTTTTTCTGGGTTCCTATTCTATTCCATGTGTCTGAGTATCCACTTCTATGCCAGGGCCATGCTGTATTGTTTTCTATAGCTCTGTGATGTGTTCTGAGGTCAAGTAATGTGGTGCTTCTGAAAGGGAAGTCTAAGTAAACACCACAAGATGCCTTCTCCACCCAGTTAGAATGGTTCTTATCCAAAAGACAAAAACTGCAAATGCTAAAAGATGTAGAAAAGGGGGAAATATGGAACACTGTTGGTAAAAATGTCAATCAGTATATACACCATAGAGAACACTATGAAAGTTGCTCAAGAAATTAAAAATAGATCTTCTGTATGACCTAGGGAAACCACCACTGGGTGTTTATTCAAAGTTTCTTTGTCATTTTTCCATTTCTGTCACAAAATGCTTGAAAAAAACAACTTAAAAGGAGGAAGTGTTTATTTTGGCTTTTGGATTCAGAGGCTTCAGCACATAGTCTGCTGGTTCCAATGTTTCAGGGCCTTGGTGAGACAGAACATCACAATGGAGAACATGTGGAGGAAGAAAGCTCCTCTCCTCATGGTGGATGACAAACAAAGCATGAAAGAGAAATATGTGCATGGGAGCCTCTAGTGACCTGTCTTCCTTCTACAGTGTCCCAACTCCTGAGCATTCCAACACCTCCCATCCCCATGGCACCAGAGGCAGTATCCATGGTGTGAACAATAGCCCTTTGTGGGACCATCCAAACCACCACACAACAAGTATTCATCTCAGCACATCAAAAAACACCTCACTCTCATATTCACACAGCACTATGCACAACATCAAGCTCTGGAACCACACAAGTTGTCCCTCAGTGAATGATCAGATGAAGAACTACAAGATACATGCCCAGTGGAATAGTACTCAGTTCCTTCCAAGACAATGCTCTGTCATTTGGAATGCTTTTCATGGAACCGGAGCTCCTAGTGAGAAATCACAGAAGGAAACACAGAAAAAGAACTACTGTGTGGTACATAAGGATTCTCCAAATTCTGAGCTTGTAGGTCTGGTGAGCAGATCCGTGGACAGAAGAGACTAGGGCAAAGAGAGGTTGGGGATAAGGATAGATTACTAAACAGGAGCTGAGTCACAGCAGACAGAAAGTGGGAGCAGAGCTGTGCTGATAACTCCAGGTTTCATAGTGGGTGTTTAGAGTTAACGGTGTCACGTTGTGTTATTCAAAATAGCTAGAAGGGGAAATTTAGAATGTTCTCAACCAAAGAAGTGACCTATTGTGAGAGACAGATAACCTAAGAATCTTGAGTTAATCATTGTAATGTACAGCTGTGTAAAAAATCACACTGCATCCTAAAAAGGTGCACAATTATCTGAAAATGGAAATATAAAAAGTAGAAAAAGAAACCCTCAGTTGTTGGATGTTCATTCTTTTTCATTTATGAAAGAAAAAAAACCCAAAGTGTGGCTCCCATTCTGTTGAATACTTCCTTTGCTATGTGGGAAGTTCTGCTATCTTCTACCTCTAGAAAGAGTGTTAGAATGAGTATTTTGAGTTCTTTCTGAAAATTATATTCATAGCATCTATGGGATTCATTTCAAATCAATGCTGGGCCAGATTAGGTTGACCATGGAGACCAGCTGACCTCTTTTTCTGCTAGTTGCAAGTGACACGGTGGTCATGGAGCTTTCCTGTCTCTTTGGATGGAAACAGGCTGATTTTTTTCAGGGCTATAGTGACCTCCATGGGAGTTGAGTGAGCTGTCAGGGAGCTGAGTTCCAGAGCCTCATGGAGTAAATGAGGACAGGTGTGCATGGGTGAGTGTAGCGTGCATGTGGT